TAGACTGGTCACTAGTCACACTGGTCAGTAGGGATAGACTGGTCACTAGTCATACTGGTCAGTAGGGATAGACTGGTCACTAGTCACACTGGTCAGTAGGGATAAACTGGTCAGTAGTCACACTGGTCAGTAGGGGTAGACTGGTCACTAGTCACACTGGTCAGTAGGGGTAGACTGGTCACTATTCACACTGGTCAGTAGAAGTAGACTGGTCACTAGTCACACTGGTCAGTAGGGGTAGACTGGACACTAGTCACACTGGTCAGTAGGGGTAGACTGGTCACTAGCTGCACTGGTCAGTAGGGATAGACTGGTCACTAGTCACACTGGGTAGTAGGGGTAGACTGGTCACTATTCACACTGGTCAGTAGGGATAGACTGGTCACTAATAACACTGGTCAGTAGGGGTAGACTGGTCACTAGTCACACTGGTCAGTAGGGATAGACTGGTCACTAGTCACACTGGTCAGTAGGGGTAGACTGGTCACTAGCCACACTGGTCAGTAGGGATAGATTGGTCACTAGTCACACTGGTCAGTAGGGATAGACTGGTCACTAGTCACACTGGTCAGTGGGGGTAGACTGGTCACTAGTCACACTGGTCAGTAGGGGTAGACTGGTCACTAGTCACACTGGTCAGTAGGGATAGACTGGTCACTAGCCACACTGGTCAGTAGGAATAGACTAGTCACTAGTCACACTGGTCAGTAGGGATAGACTGGTCACTAGTCACACTGGTCAGTAGGGATAAACTGGTCACTAGTCACACTGGTCAGTAGGGGTAGACTGGTCACTAGTCACACTGGTCAGTAGGGGTAGACTGGTCACTAGTCACACTGGTCAGTAGGGGTAGACTGGTCACTAGTCACACTGGTCAGTAGGGGTAGACTGGACACTAGTCACACTGGTCAGTAGGGGTAGACTGGTCACTAGCTGCACTGGTCAGTAGGGATAGACTGGTCACTAGTCACACTGGGTAGTAGGGGTAGACTGGTCACTATTCACACTGGTCAGTAGGGATAGACTGGTCACTAATAACACTGGTCAGTAGGGGTAGACTGGTCACTAGTCACACTGGTCAGTAGAGGTAGACTGGTCACTAGTCACACTGGTCAGTAGTGGTAGACTGGTCACTAGTCACACTGGTCAGTAGGGGTAGACTGGTCACTAGTCACACTGGTCAGTAGGGATAGACTGGTCACTAGTCACACTGGTCAGTAGGGGTAGACTGGTCACTAGCCACACTGGTCAGTAGGGATAGATTGGTCACTAGTCACACTGGTCAGTAGGGATAGACTGGTCACTAGTCACACTGGTCAGAAGGGGTAGACTGGTCACTAGTCACACTGGTCAGTAGGGGTATACTGGTCACTAGTCACACTGGTCAGTAGGGGTAGACTGGTCACTAGTCACACTGGCCAGTAGGGGTAGACTGGACACTAGTCACACTGGTCAGTAGGGGTAGACTGGTCACTAGCTGCACTGGTCAGTAGGGATAGACTGGTCACTAGTCACACTGGGTAGTAGAGGTAGACTGGTCACTATTCACACTGGTCAGTAGGGATAGACTGGTCACTAATAACACTGGTCAGTAGGGGTAGACTGGTCACTAGTCACACTGGTCAGTAGAGGTGGACTGGTCACTAGCCACACTGGTCAGTAGGGATAGACTGGTCACTAGTCACACTGGTCAGTAGTGGTAGACTGGTCACTAGTCACACTGGTCAGTAGGGGTAGACTGGTCACTAGTCACACTGGTCAGTAGGGGTAGACTGGTCACTAGTCACACTGATCAGTAGGGATAGACTGGTCACTAGTCACACTGGTCAGTAGGGATAGACTGGTCACTAGTCACACTGGTCAGTAGGGGTATACTGGTCACTAGTCACACTGGTCAGTAGGGGTAGACTGGTCACTAGTCACACTGGTCAGTAGGGGTAGACTGGTCCTTAGTCACAATGGTCAGTAGGGGTAGACTGGTCACTAGTCACACTGGTCAGTAGTGGTAGACTGGTCACTAGTCACACTGGTCAGTAGGGATAGACTGGTCACTACTCACACTGGTCAGTAGGGATAGACTGGTCACTAGTCACACTGGTCAGTGGGGGTAGACTGGTCACTAGTCACACTGGTCAGTAGGGATAGACTGGTCACTAGTCACACTGGTCAGTAGGGATAGACTGGTCACTAGTCACACTGGTCAGTGGGGGTAGACTGGTCACTAGTCACACTGGTCAGTAGGGGTAGACTGGTCACTAGCCACACTGGTCAGTAGGGGTAGACTGGTCACTAGCCACACTGGTCAGTAGGGATAGACTGGTCACTAGTCACACTGGTCAGTAGGGGTAGACTGGTCACTAGTCACACTGGTCAGTAGGGATAGACTGGTCACTAGTCACACTGGTCAGTAGGGATAGACTGGTCACTAGTCACACTGGTCAGTAGGGATAGACTGGTCACTAGTCACACTGGTCAGTAGTGGTAGACTGGTCACTAGTCACACTGGTCAGTAGGGGTAGACTGGTCACTAGTCACACTGGTCATTAGGGATAGACTGGTCACTAGTCACACTGGTCACTAGGGGTAGACTGGTCACTAGCCACACTGGTCAGTAGGGATAGATTGGTCACTAGTCACACTGGTCAGTAGGGATAGACTGGTCACTAGTCACACTGGTCAGAAGGGGTAGACTGGTCACTAGTCACACTGGTCAGTAGGGGTATACTGGTCACTAGTCACACTGGTCAGTAGGGGTAGACTGGTCACTAGTCACACTGGCCAGTAGGGGTAGACTGGACACTAGTCACACTGGTCACTAGGGGTAGACTGGTCACTAGCTGCACTGGTCAGTAGGGATAGACTGGTCACTAGTCACACTGGGTAGTAGAGGTAGACTGGTCACTATTCACACTGGTCAGTAGGGATAGACTGGTCACTAATAACACTGGTCAGTAGGGGTAGACTGGTCACTAGTCACACTGGTCAGTAGAGGTAGACTGGCCACTAGTCACACTGGTCAGTAGTGGTAGACTGGTCACTAGTCACACTGGTCAGTAGTGGTAGACTGGTCACTAGTCACACTGATCAGTAGGGATAGACTGGTCACTAGTCACACTGGTCAGTAGGGATAGACTGGTCACTAGTCACACTGGTCAGTAGGGGTATACTGGTCACTAGTCACACTGGTCAGTAGGGGTAGACTGGTCACTAGTCACACTGGTCAGTAGGGGTAGACTGGTCACTAGTCACACTGGTCAGTAGGGATAGACTGGTCACTAGCCACACTGGTCAGTAGGGATAGACTGGTCACTAGTCACACTGGTCAGTAGGGGTAGACTGGTCACTAGTCACACTGGTCAGTAGGAATAGACTGGTCACTAGTCACACTGGTCAGTAGGGATAGACTGGTCACTAGTCACACTGGTCAGTAGGGATAAACTGGTCACTAGTCACACTGGTCAGTAGGGGTAGACTGGTCACTAGTCACACTGGTCAGTAGGGGTAGACTGGTCACTAGTCACACTGGTCAGTAGGGATAGACTGGTCACTAGTCACACTGGTCAGTAGGGATAGACTGGTCACTAGTCACACTGGTCAGTAGGGATAGACTGGTCACTAGTCACACTGGTCAGTAGGGATAGACTGGTCACTAGTCACACTGGTCACTAGGGATAGACTGGTCACTAGTCACACTGGTCAGTAGGGGTAGACTGGTCACTAGTCACACTGGTCAGTAGGGGTAGACTGGTCACTAGTCACACTGGTCAGTAGGGGTAGACTGGTCACTAGTCACACTGGTCAGTAGGGATAGACTGGTCACTAGTCACACTGGTCAGTAGGGGTAGACTGGTCACTAGTCACACTGGTCAGTAGGGGTAGACTGGTCACTAGTCACACTGGTCAGTAGGGGTAGACTGGTCACTAGTCACACTGGTCAGTAGGGATAGACTGGTCACTAGTCACACTGGTCAGTAGGGGTAGACTGGTCACTAGTCACACTGGTCAGTAGGGATAGACTGGTCACTAGTCACACTGGTCAGTAGGGGTAGACTGGTCACTAGTCACACTGGTCAGTAGGGGTAGACTGGTCACTAGTCACACTGGTCAGTAGGTGTAGACTGGTCACTAGTCACACTGGTCAGTAGGGGTAGACTGGTCACTAGTCACACTGGTCAGTAGGGGTAGACTGGTCACTAGTCACACTGGTCAGTAGGGGTAGACTGGTCACTAGTCACACTGGTCAGTAGGGATAGACTGGTCACTAGTCACACTGGTCAGTAGGGGTAGACTGGTCACTAGTCACACTGGTCAGTAGGGGTAGACTGGTCAATAGTCACACTGGTCAGTAGGGATAGACTGGTCACTAGTCACACTGGTCAGTAGGGGTAGACTGGTCACTAGTCACACTGGTCAGTAGGGGTAGACTGGTCACTAGTCACACTGGTCAGTAGGAATAGACTGGTCACTAGTCACACTGGTCAGTAGGGGTAGACTGGTCACTAGTCACACTGGTCAGTAGGGGTAGACTGGTCAATAGTCACACTGGTCAGTAGGGATAGACTGGTCACTAGTCACACTGGTCAGTAGGGGTAGACTGGTCACTAGTCACACTGGTCAGTAGGGGTAGACTGGTCACTAGTCACACTGGTCAGTAGGGATAGACTGGTCACTAGTCACACTGGTCTGTAGGGGTAGACTGGTCACTAGTCACACTGGTCAGTAGGGGTAGACTGGTCAATAGTCACACTGGTCAGTAGGGATAGACTGGTCACTAGTCACACTGGTCAGTAGGGGTAGACTGGTCACTAGTCACACTGGTCAGTAGGGATAGACTGGTCACTAGTCACACTGGTCAGTAGGGATAGACTGGTCACTAGTCACACTGGTCAGTAGGGGTAGACTGGTCACTAGTCACACTGGTCAGTAGGGGTAGACTGGTCACTAGTCACACTGGTCTTTAGTTAGAGGTTTTATTGTAAACCTTGGAAACATGTACTCACCTTGTTGAATAGTGGTAACAGCTGCTGAGACACGTGAAACCTTATCACTAGTGTCTTGCTGCTGCTCCAGTAGTTGTCCAATGCTTGTGGAGGTTGTAGCACTTTGCTCCTGTAGTTGTCCAATGCTTGCGGTACTTGTAGCATTTTGCTCCAGTAGTTGTACAATGCTTGTTGAGGTTGTAGCACTTTGCTCCTGTAGTTGATGGACAGTTGTGTTGGTCTGGTTTTGCATTTCCACTATGCGTTCACATGCTGCAGTTGTATCTTGTTCACCTATATACATGATAAGATAGGTACACATAAACACTCTCTCACATGCACACACATGTGTATGCACCCGTGTCAGGGCATCACAGGGCGGCTGGGAGTGGTACGACCGGGGTCAGGGTGTCCCCCCGGAGAAAAAAAATAAGGATTTTTCGGCTAACAGGGCACGTTTTAGCACTCTACAGCTGCAAAGGAGGGCTCCCCCACTCCAGCTCCAAAAACATACTTCTAATGGATTTTTGGTATTTTCTGTACATCGTAGGTAGCCAATCAAGGCAAAAGGAACCCATTGCCCTCGAAAAAATCGCAAAATCCGAAGTACAAGCGTGGTGCGCGTTTTAGCGCCAGCCGCTGTGCAAAAACGTACTAGTATGTCATATTCTGCAGTAGTGTGCTGCGTCGCATGCACTATGTACACGGCCGGCCTGGACAGTCGCGAAGTAATTTTAGTTGTTTTTAGAGTGAGAAGATCCTTTTTTTTTGTTCGGTGGGATGGAAAGATCTGCCAGTGGACCAGAGAGCTACAACACTGGAAGCAGAAGAAAGGGCTTCAGGAATCTTCTCTGTCTTCATGGCAACAGGACTTTAGTTTGCGAGAGACTTTTGTCCTGTCGTCGCGGACGCAATTCTTGTTGCTGCTACCAGAAAACTCGGAAAACGAAAGGATCGTAAATCGTTAGGTGAAGCGAGTCGTGTCGGTGAACAGCAGCAGAATTTTCTGCCGCCTTGGAGCAGCAGTCCAAACACTTTTCAACTTCGGAGAATGAAGCGCTTCCCTTGTCTGTTTACAAGCGCGGCGTTCGCGGGTGTAATGCATTTTCGCATCAGCTTGCAGTAGATTGTCAGGAACCAGAGGTGCTAGGTAGGTGTAGTTGTGGAAAGAATATAATTATGTTGTAGCTGACAAGTTACATACATGTAGCAGGGACGTCGCACACGGTACGGTCACTACGGTATTGACCATACCACTTTTTGCCCCAGATACCCCGTGAATCAACAAAATACACTGATCTGGGATCTAAAATTCCAAAATTTTCATCCCAATTACCACTGCCCCCCCCCCCCACACACGAGTAAATTTACTTCTAATGGCTGACCGTACCTAAAACACCTTCCGACGCCCCTGTGTAGTGTCTCTTGACTGTGCTGATCGCCATTGTAACATGGTAGATCTTGGAAATTTTTAGTTCTGGACCCAGTGATCGCCGCCAGCTCAGCTCTGTTTCCGTCAAGTTTGCAGTAAATGCGTCTGTGAGGAATCCATCGTCTGGTTGTCTCTACCGGTGACTCCAACCGCCTATCGTAATGGATAGCCGCCTGGAGTCTTGGGCAATAGTTAGCTGCTACTCAGTGCTAGTGCTAGGCATCAAGTCTGTATGCTCCTTGCAAGGAAAGTTGCGATGTTTTGTACAAGTCCGAAGATCCTAGAATTTGTTTTATTGCTTTTTTGGATGAATTCGGTGGACCATCCTGGACGAAAAGTGGTACGACCATGGTCATAGTAGTCGTACCGTGTGTATGCACCCATGTACGAATGCACAAGTACACACACACATATACATGTACATGTATATACAAACACACAGACACACAAACACACACACTAACTCACACACATACACACACACACACCTTGGACCTTGGACGCGATGCAATATTCTGGCTATGCGGGCCCCATGGGGGTTGAGCAGGTTCGGAACAGTAGGGGCGATGACGGGATAGGTCCTGTGGTCTACTGAAATGCCGAACGCAATTGCAAACGATGCAGAAGGAGCTACGGTCTGCGTTGGTTGCTCTGGCCGAGCTAGGGCTGCACTTGTGACGCTTCATGCCTTGGCGCGATGGCACACAGCGGTTGCAGCGGGTGCAGTGGTAGCTGCAGCGTTCGCAGGACATATTGTTCATAACCGGTGACTCAAGTGTGTCAGAAGATGCCTCTGCTGGTGATGTCGGTGGTGAGCACTTGTGTCGGGCAAATCCACCCTTGCTCCGGAACCATATGTTGCACTGGTCGCAGTGACACCTTCTTGGCTGTTGGCTTACAGGTGGGGCACGCGTAGCTGTACACTTGTGTCGCTTCCTGTCACTTACACGACTGAAGGAGCGGTGACAAGTTTGGCACACACCCGGTGATGGTCGAGGTCTGTTCTGCTTGTCTGGCAGACAACGGTAAGCCTTGCGCCATTTGGAGCGAGAAGAAGTGGCCACTTCACACCAGTCGTCAAGTAGTTTGACGTCACTCCGAACACAGTCTCGCCACCTTTTCCACGGACCATGGGCAGGTCCCTTGTTTGGAAACGAACCGAACAGTAGAGCATTCGGGACGCGCTCATCCTCCATCCTTGACACATAACCAAGCCACTCAAGGCGACGTCTGCTGACACGACACTCCATGTCCAAGGTATCTCCCCAGCGCTCCAGAACTTCAACATTAGTTATCCTGTCATTCCATACATCTTGACGACTGATGCCCAGAATTGTGCAGACACAACGGAAATGAAAGACAGACAACGCATGAACATCAGCGTGTAGCGGTACCCAGCATTCGGACCCATAGAGCAGAGTCCACAGCACACAAGCATTGTACGCTGACCCTTTGATGGATATTGGCAGTGTTACATCGTGGAATATCGCTTCACACACACACACACACACACACACACACACACACACACACACACACACACACACACACACCTGTCCTGTCCTGTAGAGCCACTGCCACAGGGGTCACGTGGGACCCGGAGGGGCATCAGAGAGGAAGATGGAGCACGCAGCCTGATGACGCCGGAGATGGTGGAGCAAACGGAACTGGCGAAAACACATGCATACATGACTGAACGAATTACGCTGCTGGGCAGTCGGGCGCGGGCCAGTCCTCGAGCACCGGTGACGACCGCGGCCTTGCGCAGTCCGAAAGCAGCGGGCACACACAGCACAGTGCGCAGCACAGCAGGCATCCTGCACATAGACTTTTTCGGGAGGCTGAACAGCAGTGAACAGCTAGACCACCCTTGCTTCAAAACCAACGCCCACAATCTCCACAGTGGCAAGCCCCTTGCTACTCAGCAATCGGCTTGGCCCGCTCAACCACACATTTGTGGCGAGCACGATCTCCAGGGCGCGAGAATGACCGATTGCAATCCGCACATACCACTGGGCCAGGCTGAGGCACATTCTCCACAGGCTCGGCGTACATAGCCCGCCAGTCAGCGCGGGACTCACAGGCAATAGGGTACGATTCATTGGTGAGGCCACGAACTCTTAGGTCGGAGACAACGCAATCCTTCGAGCGCTTGCGAGGGCCATGTGCTGGGCGACGTGTGGGAAGTGAGCCAAACAGGATCTGTCTCGGCATCCAGCTACTGTCCATCCGGGCCACATGGCCTAGCCACTCTAGGCGACGCTGTGCAACTTTCACGCAGATGGTATCAGTGTCACCCCACATCTCCAACAGTTGGGCGTTGGTTGTGTGATTATGCCAACAATCTCTGCGGAACACACCCAATGTGGAACTGTAGTATCCCTGCCCGACCAATACGGAAGTAATACGGAAGTAATACGGAAGCAATACGGAGCGACCTTATGTATATTAATTTTAGTGTCTCTTCACATATAAGCGTACGGCGTTTGCTGCATAAAAGCAGCTGCGTTTTTTCTGTTCTAATTAGATTAGATTAGATTGGATAGCAATGAAAGCTAACTCGAAGAATAAGGATTCAGCCTCTAGGTGAGCACCGGAGAGAAAGTTATTTATTTTGCCGCTTCATCTTTCACGAACGATTAACTTTCAGGTGTGTACCTGAAAGTAGAATAAAAGTAATTCTTGTTGATTTCACCGCGCCTACCACTCGGCTACCCACTACATTGGTGGCAGCGGTGTTGTTTTAAATAAAACAACGTGATTCGACCCCAGACTCCGATGGCTCAACCCGCTACAGCTCCGTGCGACGAATCAAGATGAGAATCATGTTTCTTGCCTTCCTCGGCCTGGCACTGCTTATTAGCCTGCAGCTCAGTCAGGGTGCTAGCGTGGATCACCCTTCTCTCCGCACGGCACACACTGGAGACTCCGATGGCGATTCCAAGCGACCCGCTACCTACATGTATACTACCGGTGGTGATGGCGAAGCTGATGAGGACGACAACAGGCAGGCTGCTGCCCAAGACAAGGAGGGTATTTCCCAAGACCAGCAGCGTTTGATTTTCGCCGGCACGCAGTCGGAAGCATGAGCCCACTCTTCACTTGGTACTTCGCCTCCGTGGTGGGATGCAGATTTTCGTCAACACTATTCCTGGCTAGACCATCACTCTTTACGTCGCGCAAAGCGATGCTATCGACCATGTGAAGACCACGATTCAAGACGAGGAGGGAGGTCAATCAGGTCATTTGTCTGACGCCGAGCTAGCCGCTCTGAGTGACCGCCTCAACGAAGATGAAGATAAAACCTGGCTCGCCCTCCGCCATAGCTCCAGCCGCCGCCGTGGTTACTAACGCTGATTCCAGGTATGGCATTTTCTTTCCTGTCTTCCTTCAGTCTCCCTGTTCTCTTCAGTCTTCCTTTATGCGAGTGTGTGAATCCAGTTTAGTTTGGTAGGCGTCTGATCATGGTGAGCCACGGCTTACCCAGCTAACGTGGGACAATGTGTGTGACAACGCCCCTTATAGATATAGTGTATTCAGTTCGGTTTTTGAACTGCGATGTTCCTGGCGGGTTGTGCCAGCGTTGTGCAGCAAGAGTGCTGTAGTTTTTCAGGTCCTATTTGGAAGACAGTTCTTTCCCCTTTTTTACCCCGAGAGATCGTGTGAACCTGGTGTGCTTCTACTTTATGATTTGTTATCAGTTCATTTCTTCTGTCTACTCTAAACGTTATCATTTCCGATATAATTTGCCATCTTCCGGTTGACGCTGTTGTTCGTAACTCCTCACTAATTTTTTGAAAATCACGAGGGCGTGATTATCTGTAGGAAGGGAGGGTGTAGTATCCCTGCCCGACCAATACGGAAGTAATACGGAAGTAATACGGAAGCAATACGGAGCGACCTTATGTATATTAATTTTAGTGTATCTTCGC